TGAATGTAGGTTGTCAAGTAAACAATTCGATTTAGTTTCAATTATAATTTATAAAAATTTTTTTGTAGAATCATGTTACCGTTTTATAGATTGCTGGCGTCAATGTTCAAAATCAAACATTCACAGAAGCGGTAACATAAGATCGGTCTTTTGCCTTTCTGGAATATGACGGAATTTTAGGAATGGGTTACAAAACATATCTACAAAAGGAGTGCCTCCCGTTTTCACCAGCATGTTTGAACAAGCCCTAGTGTCGGCACCTGTTTTTAGTTTCTATCTGAATCGGCATGTTCATCCTTCTTAAGGCCCCTGAGTAGTCGCGGCGGCCATGTTGGAATCGTGACGTCAGAAGCGAGGAATGACACGTTAATTTATGCACGATGCCATTTGTAAACAGGGACAATTTGGATGAAATTAAACGATGGGTTCGCTTTAAAACACTTGTAAAAATCGATGAAAACTGTCCTTTTCTCCCTTGATAGTCAGTAAATGGTCGTAAAAGACTCGTAAAGTGAGCCTATATTCTGGCAGGAACACACGGTTTCATAACTGTTAAAACGAGTTAAATATACACTTTTACGTATAAAATTCCAAGATAACTTTAGTTGTCATCGAAAATTACGACTTTGAGAAGTACGAAACAAGTCACATTTTCACAATTAAGCAAATAATAACGAAATGGCATTGTGCACAAATTTCGTCGTCAAAACTGGTCAAAATGTCACTTTTCCACGCCTATAAGTTCGGCCATTTATCGTGGTGTGGCGCTGTAACACACATACAAGCACGATCCCATATCCGTGTGCTTGCCTGCGAGCACTTAAGTGTGTGGCTACCGATTTTGCCAGACCGCCGTCTGATACTGTGTCGCCACCGTCAACGCAGAGTTCTTGGCTGAGTAGTCAGGAGCCTTATGTCTAAAAATATTCTTTCACTTGAACAGTTCTTTTACTATATTACAAAATTGTTTTTTTAATATACAATATTTTTAATATTGAAAAAACAAATTTGCAGAAATGATTATTACGGTAATGAACTGATATTGGGTGGTTCCGATCCCATTCAATGTGACACCGAGTTCACTTACGTTAATGTTATCAGCAAAGGATACTGGCAATTTTCCATGGATAAGTACATAATTATTTTTTAAACTACATACTTATATATGTAAATGGATTATACAGAAGATAATTGTTAATGCTATAGGATAAAAATGAGACATATGATTTTTTTGTGAGGATGGCTGTGATGCCATTGCACACACTGATTTTTCGGGGCTATCTGGACCAGCATCACAAATCGAATTTATTAACAACGAATTGGATTCATTAAAACGAATTGGAATTGATCATGGAGGAGATATGCTTGTAAAAGATAAATTTCCCAATGTCAGCTCTCTTTCAATGAATACTAAATAAATTATTGAAATTAATTAATAAATGCCTGATTTGCTCCTGTTGACAATAATATTGTTTATTAATATTAAGCTTTGTTATGTTATTGGTCATATCAATATGGATTATTAGTATGTACTTAACTTTGTTTAAAGATGAACTGCAATCAGACTTCTTAGTTGCCAAATGTTACTTTTTTCCTGAGTGGTAATCCATTCATACTCACTGCACAAGATTACATCTATACCAGAACGGTAAATATATTTAAATTAAGGTTAAAATTCCTGATTACTCACCACGAATCTTCAGATTGATGATTTCAGAAGCGATAAAGTACATGAAAACTCATGCAAAATATAGTAAATTGGATGCATTTTTCAAGATGATGACTTTTACATTTAATTGAATACATTTGTAAAAAAAATATAATGACCTTCTCGGAAATCGTATAGTTTATTTTGTTTTCTGATTACAATTCAATTTCAATTATAAGGTTACTTATTGATTTTACTGTAACACATAGGAAGGTTTGGGTATAATTAACAAATAATCAAATGCAATATCGTTTTATTAAAAAATACAATTTAATGTGATTTGCAATATTTTTTAAAATATATTTCCTCGCTTTTGATGTTGCAATATAAGATGGTAATGAATAGACAAGAGCTATAAACTGTTTTAAAATGAAACGTCATGCCATGTTCAATTTGTTGTAGATCGATTCGAATACTACGGAATGTACAAGCCCTTTCGTAAGTTCCAAGGAATATTTTGGTTTTGAGGATATTTGGGTTTTGGGTATTCCATTTCTTAGTCGGTTTTATACTGAGTTCGACATGGAGAACGACCGAGTGGGACTTGCGCTTGCAAATTAAGTATTATTTTCTCAAGAGATTATTTTAAATGCTAGAAGATTATAAGAAATAACGAGCGAATTATTTTGTCTTGCAAAGTTTTTAGAATTTAAAAAAAAATGTTTTGTTTCTTAATTCTTACACTTGTGGCGTTGAAATTTTTATTTGGAGTTATTTAAGCGTTAACTGCATTCTTGTCAAGTGCGTACGAGATATAATTCATAAAAGCATAACGAAGATGTGCGATATTACTGCTATCAACGTTTAATGCAACCCATTCTTCCAGCATAATATCGTATTGTCACACGCGATATTATAAATATATTCTGATAATCTTAAATTCTTTCTTTTGTTTATTAAAACGTAAAAGTTGTACGTATTTCTCAATGTGGAATCTGCATTTGTAAACTTATCTAAAATCTAAAACAATAAATTGTCTTTAGTTGTAATTAATGTTATCAAATATATCTTACGTTACAAGGAAATTATAATAATATAAATTTTTATAAATAGTTTTGCGAGATATTAAGATTATATACTGTAACTAAACAATTTGTTTAAACTGAAGGAATGAATAAAATATATTGGCTGTAAGTGAGTTGCTATTTCTGTAGATAACCTCGTTCATCTCTTCATTATCCCACTTGTTTTGTAAGTACATAAAATAAATACGTACATCGGTAAATTACACGATTCTTTTCCGATCAACAACATTTTCAATATATTAGGTGTTAAACTTAATTCCTGCCGTTTTTTGTTTCCAAAATTGATTTGTTTCGAAGGGAAGATGAATGAATACCTTAATCAAAGTAATTTCCTCCATTTTCTACTTTATTACTAATTAATAATACTTTGATTAAGGTATTTGCCTTCGAAACAAATCAATTTTGGAGACGAAAAACGGCAGGAATTAAGTTTAACACCTAATATTATCGTTCAAATACAACCTAGAAGTATTATAGTATCTATTTTTTATCTGCGCCTCTTTCATATCGATTTGATAACTTCTTTTCTTTTGTTCTTATTTTTACATGTACAGATCCGAAGTGTACAGATCATAATTGCTTTCCGGTTGTTTCTTTTTTTGCTATCGATTGTTCACTGTTATTTTCAGGTAATTCATTTTCCGTCGTACTTATTTCTTTTCTTTTTGTACTATTTACTACATAATTAAAATTTTAAGTTATATATTTTAATGTGTTATGCGAGACTCTTGAGTGAGTTTGTATTTACAGACTCAATTTTTTAATTTATGCCAAGGAATAAACTACTGTGGGCATTGCGGTGTATAAATTTGGAGCATTACTGGACATTTTTTAAAAGAATTATGTATTATAATGATCAATATGAAGTTATATTTTATTGATCAATGTAAAGCGTTACTAAAGCATTAATGGGCATAAAAAATTGGGTATTACTTAGTCATTATATGAGTATTATTTGGACATTATTGGGCATTAGTAGACATTGACGTACAATGTTTTAGACAGCGATTTATCCCTTACTTACACCGTTTTATTTTTCAAAATTCAATTCCTAATATCGTATTGTAAAATAAAGTATATTCCACAATTATCCTTTCAACCAGCGATTTAATTGATTTGTGTTTCTAGGTCTTTTCTATTTACTTGTCGCTTTGTTGGGGAACACATTTTACATCGATGAATAAGATTGAATTGATGAGAATAGCCCAAAGCGAGCCAAATCATCTAATTCTGTAAATATATTCGTCGAATTATACATTGCTTTTAGATAAATTTTTGCGTATTATTTAACGCGTTGACTTTCAATTGCTCTCATTATTCTGGTCTCATGTTTCTGTATCATTATTTTTATAAGCTTATCCTATCCAGACAAACGATGCATACTTTAAAGATTAATACGAGGGTGGATCAAATAAACAGGAATTTTTTTTAAATATATTAGACGAGAATGAAAATATAAAGAAAACAAATTATTTTTCCATATAGTATTCTGCTATTATATAGCTAACATATTTTTCCAGCGGATAGGCAGTTTGGCGGTCCGTTTCCATAAAAAGTAGTAGTTGTGTCTGCAACTGATTGCGCAAAAATTCCTCTCTACTGGTATCGTCCACGAATCGTATTGTCCTCCTAATTCTTCTTTCAGTAGCCCAAATAAATGATAATCGTATGGAAAGATTTGTCTCAATGCGAATATTATTTGTTTGAGCCGCTAAAGAATTGGAATGATTCTAGGACGATGCCAGTATAGAGGAATTCGTGCGCAATTATCGGCAGACACAACCTACTACTTTTTATGAATAGGGGATCGCTAAACTATCTATCCGTTGGAAAAAATATATCAATGTAGCAGGGAACTATGTAGAAAAATAATTTGTTTTTTTTTTAATTTTTATTTGTATCTATTAAATAATAAAAAATATTCTCGTTTATATTTGATCCATCCTCGTATTTTTTTTATTAATCTCATTTATTTAAATACATTGAGTCATGCGTATATGCGAAATATGAGAGTGGACAAATGCGAACCGCATTATTTTTTAAAAAATTTATTAGATATTCGATTAACGAAAAGTACTGAGGTCACTTTTGAAATGTTTCGCTCACTTCGTCCTTCCTAACACAAATACACAAGTATATAAATAGCACGGAAACGCTAATTGGCTTTATTTTCGTTTGTTGTACGTCCTGATTGTGAACTGATTTGAAAAAGAGTTGGAACATCTCTGAAATCTTCTTAAACTTATTCGCCAGACAATTCAGAAAACATGTTTCGAATGTTCCTTGCAGTTGCCGCACTCGTCGTGCTAATCAATTCAGAGTTGCATAGGTGAGTAAACATTGATTCACAATAAATACTTTAACCATAATTAAAACGAAATGTACAAAAATGTACTTTGTGTGTTAGAATAATGTGGACAGACAAAAAAATACTTTAAATTTCTTTGAGGCTTGCACTTTAATTTTGTTTACGTCTTAAGTGAAATATGTATCATGAACGGAGAAGTTCGCATCTAAAATATATAACGTTATTTGATAGGGAAGGCATTATTTGCCTATAAAACGATTGTCTAGTTTCATTTGCACACAGCATGTTGCACACATGACAATATTACTCATGGCATATTGCACACACGACGCTATTAGTTTAATATACTTCATGCGCTTGATACGTGTACTAACTGGTAACTTTCTATTAAATTATTTCATTTTTATAGCTACGTATTTAAAGAATGATGTACTAAAGTGGTACAATATGCATCAAAATGATTACTTAAATACACATATCATGCTTATAAGTTTCGCTGAAATTAAGATAATTTATTAAAAAATTACCAGTACCTGTATCAAGAGCACAATGTAAATTAGGCCAATAGCGTCGTGTGTGCATTGTGCTGTGTGCAATACTGTTGTGTGTGCAATATGCTGTGTGCAATATTGCCGTGTGCAAACGAAGCTGTAATCGTTTGGTAGATAACGGGATCATCTCTATTTGCGTAAATAGATTAATGCAGATTGCCTTTGGTTGAGACTTACGTAATATTTAGAAATAAGAAGTATTTAAATTAAGTTTAAAGATGATTTATCAATTTATTTGAAATTCGTATATATTGTGCATATGTTGTGCGATATTCATATATATCTGTTCATATATTTGTGTTTTTATGAAACATATATGCGTACAATATAACAGAATTTTTTAAATGTTTTAAGAATTCCGTTGCACAAGACATCCTCTGTTCGAAAATCGATTGGAATCGATCATCGACAAGGTAATTTGACGTTTACTAGCATTGTAAAGGAACCGTTACTTAATTTTCGGAATGCTCAATATTATGGCGTTATTTCAATTGGAACTCCACCGCAAAAATTTAATGTACTTTTCGATACTGGTTCCGCTAATCTCTGGGTACCATCCGTACACTGTGACATTGATGACTTAACTTGCTGTAAGTATTATAACATTATTTTTTCAATGTTGTGTTTATATTTATATTTATGTTTATGTTCGTAGACAACAAAAAGGGAAAAGTTTGTGCTAATTGGAATTGGCATTGCAAACCGTGCGCTAATATTTTAATAAATAATATTTAATTTTAAACTATTAAAAACATTTCTTACAATAATGTTAATATTAAGTATTATTTATTCTTGCCACACCTAACAGAATTTTCATGAAGTATAATATTAGGTGTTAAACTTAATTCCTGCCATTTTTCGTCTCCAAAATTGATTTGTTTCGAAGGCAAATACCTTAATCAAAGTATTATTAATAAAGTATTATTAATTAGTAATAAAGTAGAAAATGGAGGAAATTACTTTGATTAAGGTATTCAT